ATTTATTGCCAAATGTAAAAAAAGGCATTCTCTTAGCCTCCCTCCTGATACGTTAACATAAGCTAAGCAGTCGTAAATGTCCGTTACAAATTCGACGTGCTCGATCACAAACACGTTAACTTGCAAAGTTACTTCCTGTCTGACGTTCACCGGTGTAGGAGTGACAAAGGACGAAACGAACGGTAGAACGTCCCGGAATATTCGCGAGAGAGAGAGAGAGAGAGAGAGAGAGAGAGACGGAGACGAAACGTTTCGAAGTTTTCTCGCAGTGACACCTCGATCGATCGACGTTTCTGCCGCGCAACCGGTCGGCCAAAGCGTACGGCGATCAGTTTGCGGTCACTTTTGCGAGATGATTGCGAGCGCACGCGCGAATTTCTTTGCCGTTTAGAGGAAGGAAAGGTAGAGCGGCTTGCCGAAGGTTATGTGTGTGTGTGTGTGTGTGTGTTAGATGACGTCACGTTCCTACGAGAAAATCACACGAGTCGAGCGAGTGCAAATGACGTGTTCGACGAACTCGTTACTCTCTCGCAGACACGGAATTTTTTCTCCGGCGAAGTAAAAGTCCGCCCTTGCTGACCAGTGACGCATCGTCGATTATTCGCCGCCGCTGGTAATTCGCAAGTGCGCGGGTAATTGTTTCACATTTATCCCCACGTTATCGCGCTACACACACGGTTTTGCTACACCGAGAAACACCGATCGACCGGCCGATCATTAAGCTTCCGGGCTGGAATCTCTCGAACGAAATGTGTACGAATTCTCATCGCTCGCTTTCGTACGCGGCGGCGGACTTTCGTCGCCGTCACACTGCCGAGACACGTTAACTTTTCCCGTAGGGGGAGGAGCGGCGTTGAATTTTCGGAAAATCAACGGCACGATCACGACAGGCGATAATAATAATATAATACTTTTCGATTAGTCCCCGCGCTCGGCTTTGTCGCACGAATGCGGCGACGGCGTCGTTCTGCAGCCCATGCATTATACATTCTTGACGCCGATAGAGCGGCGATGCTTGTGCGTCTGCGAAAAAAAAAGAAAGAGTTAAACCGTTGAACCGATCGGCATATCATTTGAAAGGAAAATCATGCCGCGGTTCCACCGGGGGATGTGGTAAATATGCAAATATGGCGCGAAATCTACTCGCTGGGAGAGCCAGTAAACCGAAGAACGAGTGACCGATCCTTTGATCGCGTCAGCTCTCGTTAATGCACGTTCGCATTTTGTATTTTCGGAGCCTGGAACCTGTGACTCGACCGGCCTCCTGGTGACCCGGTAGTGTCGAATGGATCATCTTCGTGTATCGTCGCGGCACCGATGAGGTGATACTAAAGATCACCGGTCCTAAGTAAATATCGTAGCTGCCAAGGGGTCGAATTGAAGAAGAATGAATATCAATCCTTAGTCATCTGATACAAATACCTCTGCACATCAATATGCAGTAAAATATAAATTTTATAGTAGACTTACGATGAGCATACATATTGGGTATTTTTGTGAAACTGTAGAAATGCAGGTATCACCTGCGCTGATTTGGTGCAAAATTTACTGGGCAGAAGGTTACTAACCCTTTTGAGTCGCTTATTTTATTTGGAAATGGCATCAATTTTTAAGATGAAAATGATTAGGTTGATGCAAGAGTTCGTTTCATTTTTTAATAAAAATGTGTATATAACATTTGCTTATTTTAAAATACGGCCAGAACCAGAATTTAGTAGGAAGGCCGTACTGCAAAGCAGCGATGTTAGAAAACAAAGGTGACTCACTACCCTAGTAAACACAAGAATATTGGCATAGCCGTTGGTCTAACTGTTCGCCGTCCGATCATCGTGTGGCGAAGCGAGAGCAACCGTGTGCTAAAGTGGGGACAGGTGACCAGCTCGAGAAAAACGTAGGAAATATAATAAAACAACTTTCGCAGTTACCGACAAGTGGCTACAACTTATTTTATATTTGTATTCGCGAGACATTTTATCCAAGTCACCTGAATGATGCAGTTTGCCATTAAAACATTTGTAGTTAAAATAGTCAAAAAAGTCTGGTTGGAATAACCCGTGACTGCTGCAATATAAATGACTCGACAATTGTACTGCGGTTGCAGCAACCATATAATTAATTGTTCTATATTTTACTCGGATAATTTACGTGGAGAACATTTCACTTTGGATCAAGCAAATATTATTTGACCCGGGTGAAAATTTGCCGAGGAATAATTACTGGAGTCTAGCATTTTTTTTCTCCATTACAATAGGAATTGCTATAGCAATAGCTATTCCTGTATGCAATAGCGGGGTACGTAATCTCGTTGGACTCAAAAGGGTTAAACAGAGTGGAAAAACCTTTCTGTTACGCTTGATTCCGCGAGGCTAATGGTCTTTGATATTATCTCGTCGGTGGTCGCGGCCATCGGGATTCTCCCTTTGCTTTGAATCGGCGAATTAAATGTTTCATCACGCCGCACGTTTGCGAGACCACTCGCGAGTTAATTTCGGTGGAGCGCTTAGACCGCGTGCACGGTAACGCCGGTGCTCGATCGTGCTTCTCCCCCCCCCCCTCTCCCATCTTTCTCTTTCTCTCTCTCTCTCTCTCATCGTGGAGCACGCACGCATGCCGCCGTTGCTGTCTTTGAGCGTCAGGAATAGATTTAGGAAGCGACGAGCTATGCGACGGGCCGCTGCCAAGTCGACTCGCACATGAATGAGTTACTTGCATGTGCGTACACGTGCTGCGCTAATTTATAGCGCCGCGACGCGCGGAGGACGAAGTAAAAGGGATTCCGGGGGGAGGAGGGTGGGGATGAATTCTGGTCCTCCATGGCCGGTAGCGAGGCGTTGCGGCCGCTCGCAAATTCATTGTCATCGTGCGTTTCCCGCGCTAAGATCGGCAGATCTTTCCGAGGATTCGCGCGATGAGGATATCTCCTGAAATGTACGCGACGAATCACGTTCCACTCGCGAATCCGATCGCCCATTCCCGTCGGAATCATTTCTTCGACCATTCAGAAAGCGACGCGAGATCGAACGTGCCGGGGTGAGCGATAAGAAGCGCGTTGTTTCTCTTGAAGTGCAAAGGTCACTTTCGAATCGGGATTAATATCTGACCTCGCGTTACCTCGCGAAGTTAATCATGCGACTTGCCGAAGTAATTTCCCAATGGCGACGACAGGACATTCCGCGTCGTAGGTTCCATAAAGGGATCGGCTTGCTCGAAGCCATCGCCACTCCAGAGAGTGTCCGCTAATCTTAGGCGAAAGCACACAGTCATTCAAGCTCGGGCGTAGAATAGAATGGGTCAGGGGAGGAAAAGGAGGGGGGCTTTGTCGTCTGCATCGCGGAACGCCAGGAATCGCAGTGCCTCCGTGAATGTGCCTGTGTCCAGAATGAAACTTTCGAGTTGGTGCATGGGAGCCGCCGCCGTAAAATCTTGGCTCCTCGTGGCGCCGTTTCCCCCCTTCCCGCCGTCCTCTGAGAAAAGAACGGTTAACAACGGTCGCGAATAACTCACAGCCAAAATCCGAATTTCGGGTCGACGTCGAGGAAAAGTGGAGCGCAATCAAATGGATAATAACCTCGTGAACAAAGATTGTTGTTAACGATCAGGAACAACCGTTAAACCGTACGCTGGTTTTTGTGCATGAAAGTAATGTTTAGTAGGGATGTCAAATTGTCGGTAAATACTAGGAGTACAAAAATATACCGAATAGTTCGATTTTGATTTCTCTTGCATCTTATCGTTGATTTGCTCATTATGAATTTGACAATTGGTTGCGTCACCAGTGGGTCAATCCATTTTAAATGATACGATTATGAATTTTCTGATTACTCAACCATTTTTTTTTTAATTTCATTTTTTGTTAGTTATTACCCCTAAATGTCAATAAGTCAAAACTATCAATATTTTAATTTTACTCGCTTTCTTTTAAAAATGGCGGCTATCCGAGAACATGACAGCAATTTTCGAGTTTACGAGTTACGTGTCTCAGAACTGCGAAGTGATAGAATCCTAAAACAAAAACTATTGTCTTCAGTAAAGTTCAGGCTACATTTTTAGTCCAATATATTTATAAAATTACTTAATTTCGCTTTTTAATGATGAAAAGAGCGGCTGAAGTTGTACTAAATATTTGTAAAATTATAATTATTATGAGCTCCTACGTGAGTTCATTGGGATAGTTCGGCTATTACATTATTTCAATTGTTTGACTTTATTGTTATTTATAATGTTAGCTAAAAATTGTGCGAGGTAGTTAAACCAAATTGTACGGACATATTTTGACTGTATCGTTCTCGCACTTGTAATATTTAGTGACACATCGTAAATAATTCGGACCAAATGACCGTACGTTACAAATTACTCGAATTGAGTTAAAAAAAAATTATAGAAGCAGTTTATTTGTAAACTTATAAAAGAGAGGTCAGAGTTCGGTTCGCTCTTATCTTCTGTGCGGCTTGTGGTAATTACTTCGTTTTCGCTTCGTAATTGAAAGTCAATCCGGTGTCTTTAGTGAAACATTGAATTTTTTGTACTCTCATCGTCTTCGGAACTTTTCTCGCGCTCATTGTCGCATTTACGAATAATTGTATGAAGTTGTGCAAATAGACAAATGAATTCTCTAATGTAAGGTGGAGTCAGATTCCACAGCTTATTTCGTTTATTTTAAAGCGTTTATTTTAAAGCGTGTTGTACACGCTGTTTCCCTTCTTAATGAATGTTTCATGTTATTATTTACTATTTTTACATATTTACTATTTTTACAATTTGTACAATCATTGCATGAAAAATAAACAAAACAGCATGGGGTTGGATCTGACCCCATTTTCCTGGATTGAAAATCCGCTTTGTCATTAGAAGGTTAACATTTTTCTAAAGCTTATTTCTTTAAAATTACAAATTTGAGACGATTTCTATAAAACGCAGGCTTAAGAGAATCTGACGGATCGGTAAGAGACGCTTCACAGCCTTCGATAGACAGAGTCCAGTAATTTCCGACGATGTTACAGAGGAAGATCCACTAGAAAGGACGAGTCAATCGATCATTTCTCGGGGAAACGCTGTAATATCCTCCCGAGTCACGCCGACGTCGGCCGGCTCGAACTCTTTGTCTGCGCTTCATCCTACATCCCATCATCACCATCACCAACATCAACAGCAGTCGCAGCAGCAACAACTTCAGCAGCAGCAGCAGCAACACCACCAACAGCAGCAGCAGCACCACCACCACCAGAGCGATCACCATGGCACACACAATCAATACATGGAGAATCACAATCCGAATCAAACGCAGCAAAACACGGGCAACCTTGTCGTCGACATTGAAGCTAGCCACGACAATAAAAAACATCGGACCGGGTAAGTGTTCTTTCCCTCGTTGACTTTTTATTTATTCCCGCCAGGTCCCTCTGACTACGTTACCTTTCCCGGAATTTTCCAACAAGAATTTACTCGTGAGTTTCGGCCCGTTAAACAATTCAGACATTGCGAAATCCACTTAACATATTGCCGAACGATCGGGTAGATCTATTTTTTTCTTGATGATCGTTGATAGACCCAAACTTTCGATGATTCCGGAGCAATATTTTTACTTTTAGATTTTATGCAAATTTATTATTTTTTCATTGTTTATTACAATTATTCAAAGTAACATTTATTAAAGTATCAACATTTATAGTAACTTTTATTAAAATAACGTTTATCAAAGTCGTGTGTGTGTGTGTGTGTGTGTGTGTGTGTGTGTGTGTGTGTGTGTGTGTGTGTGTGTGTGTGTGTGTGTGTGTGTGTGTGTGTGTGTGTGTGTGTGTGTGTGTGTGTGTGTGTGTGTGTGTGTGTGTGTGTGTGTGTGTGTGTGTGTGTGTGTGTGTGTGTGTGTGTGTGTGTGTGTGTGTGTGTGTGTGTGTGTGTGTGTGTGTGTGTGTGTGTGTGTGTGTGTGTGTGTGTGTGTGTGTGTGTGTGTGTGTGTGTGTGTGTGTGTGTGTGTGTGTGTGTGTGTGTGTGTGTGTGTGTGTGTGTGTGTGTGTGTGTGTGTGTGTGTGTGTGTGTGTGTGTGTGTGTGTGTGTGTGTGTGTGTGTGTGTGTGTGTGTGTGTGTGTGTGTGTGTGTGTGTGTGTGTGTGTGTGTGTGTGTGTGTGTGTGTGTGTGTGTGTGTGTGTGTGTGTGTGTGTGTGTGTGTGTGTGTGTGTGTGTGTGTGTGTGTGTGTGTGTGTGTGTGTGTGTGTGTGTGTGTGTGTGTGTGTGTGTGTGTGTGTGTGTGTGTGTGTGTGTGTGTGTGTGTGTGTGTGTGTGTGTGTGTGTTCTAAACAAAAAATAAACGAAAGACAAAATTAATTTTATTAAATAGAAGAGGAAATTTGTCCCTGAAAAATATAAAATGAAACAATTGGTTTTTTAAACAAACAACAATTAAAATTAAATTTTTAAGAATCAATCATAGATAATTTTCTCTTCATTTGCTCACTATCCTTAACTTGAGGTTTTAATCCGGAAATAATTTCGTACTTCGAAAGTCTGGAAAAATATCTCGGCGTGTACGTTGCATTATCGGGAAAACGTATCCTCCCGCTAAAATTTATAAATCTCGCGGCCGATTCCCATCTACCTATTGTCCTTACTATTATTTAGATTTTATTTCCTATCCTGTCCTGTGAGAATCGTCAAAAAATTCAGTTCGGGATAATTACCGTGCAGTATTTGCACGAAATGTGTGATTTCCAAAGCCTGGTGGCGCCGGTGAGGCGCAACATCCCCTCCCCCCTCTCTTCACGCGCAGTTTGGCAGTGTATGTTTGCGTTGAAGTAAAAGTCAGCCGAGTTCGAGCGAAGTACGTACAGTGACTTCGTTATCTCGTACTGACTTCGTGTTACGCCTTATCGGCGTGTTGTGCTTGAATTTGCCGAAAATACGCAATAATTATCTGATCGACACACGCTCAACGTCACTACCACACTTCGCCGCGAGTCGATATGTCAGCCTGTTGCTTCGCACGCTCCCGCTTCATCTTCTCTCCCTCCCTCTCTCTCCCTCTTCTCTCCTCTCTCTCCTCCTCACCGTGCACGAGCAAGCGTGCGACGCGCCGTCGCCGACGCTATAGGTTACTATACCTATTTACGCCGTGCACGTGTCCAGGGTGAATGGCACGTGCACGATGCATCACTCGGCGCGTTGCGTCGTGCGGCGATAACGTGTGGCGGTCACGCTATTACATGATCGCGTCTTCAATGCGCGTACGGAAAAATTTCTCCCTGAAGCGTATGCCTCACGATACTTCGTGGCAAAAAATTCATCAGACTTCGCGAATCGCGCTTTCTCTCTATCTCTCTTTGTCTCTCCCCCCTCTCTTTTCTTTCAACCCGAATTCCGGCTCTTCGTCGTTGAGAGGGTTCGAGTTATTAAGAGACCTATTTCTTGTTTCTGCACTGGATGCGCTATTTCAAGTGTGCGTTTTGACGTTCACTGCTAGTACCGCAAATCTGTAGTATAGGTAACATAAATTGATTAAATGTAACGTAATAAACTATTTGCAGTAGTGTACTAAATAGCAATTAAACCAGTTTTTAGCCAGTGACTGATAGTAATTCTCTAACCAGCTAGTGTTTTTTATCAGTTTTTACTGGCCGAAAACTTACAAGTTTGAGAGACTTTTGCTTCGACAATAATTGGACAGTAAAACCAGCCAGTTTCCGACCAGTTTCTAGTAAGATTTTGACTATTTCATTTGTTTGCTATTTCATTTGTTTATTATTTTGCCTCGTTCCTGGCCGGGAAATGGGCAAAAACACACGAAGTCAGAATCTTAAGGATTTTTGCTGGATAGAATATTAACTATTTTTCTTTTACAATACTTTATGGCAATTAACTGGCCGAGAAGTAATAATCGGTATTTTTTGCACAGTTTCTGAACAGTTAATGTCTAATTAATTCAAGCCAGCAAAAACTGTTTCTATGTAATAACCAGTTTTTTCCCTAACATTTTTCTACCCAGGTAACAGTGAATATCGGAACGCACATTTCTTGAACTACCACGTAGCTAATGCAAGAACAAATAACAAACTGTAAGGTCTGAGGGAACACGATGCGTACCTTCGCTTTACCTCCAATCGCGTATCTCTCCTCATAGTTTACGTCTTCTCGCACAGACCCTGCGTAATCCGATCCGGCACGAGGGAGGTGCACAACAAACTGGAAAAGAATCGCAGAGCGCACCTCAAGGAATGCTTCGAGATGTTGAAAAAGATGCTACCGGCGCAAGACGAGAAGAAGTCTTCGAATCTCTCCATCCTTCACGCGGCGAACCAATTTATACAGGTTTGTCCGAATGTTTCACACGTTAACGCGCACTCTTACATTTGTACGACAAACGATCCGGAGGCCAGTTTCGCAACTTGGATCAAGGCACTTTATCATCCTAGATGTCTTCGCTTCTCTGAGCGACCGAAACGACGAGTACTCAGCGAACACCATCCAACAATAACATAACATTAACGTTACAATTTCCCGCTCAATCAACGATGTAAAAGCAATATAACGCGCGTGTTACGCAACAGTTACATCGTCGAGCGGAAAATTTGTAACATTGATGTTATGTTACTGTTAATCGGTGTTTATCAGCTAACGATTAATCGCCCCGTGATCGGAAATCGGCCCCGGCCGAGAAATCCCGCGGAAATATCGGGAACTCGAGTGTCCGAGGATTTTCCGTCCGATTCTGTGACGGTGATTTCCTTATGACATCGCGCGCCGATCGATAGACTCACAAGACACGCCGCCACCTTGCGCATATAAAGTGTACACTCGGCCGCTTCATTGTAAATTCTTGCACTCATTGTCGATTTATAGCTGCGTCGTGTACGTGGTGTCGTCGTACGAGGGTGAGCGAAATTCCGCGCGGCGGCCGAATGCGGACGCGTATTGCGTCGCGATTAAATTTATATTCGCGCGGGATCCTCCGTTTCGTCCGCACGGTCGATGTACTCTCTCTCGCGCGAACACGCGCGAGTACGGCTCAATCGAGCAGAGCGCGGTCGTTTGAAAAAAAAAAAAACTTACCACCGGCCTGATCCTCGCGCTGCTCTGTTTTTTTACACAAAGTTATGCAAAAGTGTTCCCCGAATTACAATCATCCAAAGTGAACTTCTTCGTATTTGCGCTGACATATGCGACGCTGTTTCTCTGCCCTCGTTAAGATGCGAAGCAAAAAAAAGGAGGAAAATGAGATCCGTGTACAGAGGCTCGGGATTTCAGAAAACTCGGAGGTCGATCGAATTTTTTTCTTCGTCGGCTCGATATGGATCCGGTTCAAGGATAAACCCAGCTCCGTGACACGTGCACCGATTTTGCGCGCCAAGCGTGGAACTCGCGCGCAAGTTCTCGCTCACGGGTGTCGCTTAGTCTGCGTCCCCGTGAAGGTCGACCTCCTCCTTCTCCTTTCCTTTCTTTCGCGATTTCGCCCCCTCGCCCCGCCCCTCTTACCGACGATGCGAACTTGTCCGTCTTTCTTTCTTGTTCGTACTTGGTGCACCGCCTTCTTTTCCTTTTTTCCATCCGAATTTTCTTCCCCAGTCGCGACACGCCCGCTTCGCTCCGCATTTCTTCACCTTTCACCCCCTTTCACCTCCTGCTTAGGTTCCCTGCGGTAATGTTCCATGACGTGAAACCGCTCTATTCAGCGCTGCGTTTTAATTTAACCTACGCGTTTTTCAGAAACATATATATATATACTGTAGTTTAAATCATTTGATGTATCGGTTTAAATACATCGATATACAGTTTTGGCTGCGCTCAAATCTTCTGTTAGAAAACTCTTACATATGTGAGTTTTTTGTACCCCCGAATCTTTATCGTGTATCTTCTTACTAGAGGAATGTAATTCCCGTGAATGAATAAATCTGAAAGTGAAAATCAACAATAATCGATCAAGTTTTCACAAAGTAGATCAAACAAGAAGAAAGATCTGTGACGTTCATCTGATCAGCGATCGGCGCTGTACATACATTGCGCTTCTGCACGAGGAACATCTCTCTCTCTCTCTCTCTCCCTCCCTCCCTCNCCTCCCTCCCTCCCTCCCTCCCCCCTCCTTCCTTCCTTCTTTTCTCCGTCTTTCCTCCTTTTCTTTTTCTTCTCATCCCCCCCTCTCCTTATTCTCATCCCTTCTTTCTTCTAACACATCCCCCGCCAATTTCTCCCACTCTTAATATTTTCTTTCTCCCTCCCGTCTCGCCTCCATATCGCACCATCTCGAGGCATGTTCCGTGCGCGTAGCATTTTTCTGCGGGAAAGCATTACCTATATCGGCTCCACGTGACTGCGCGGCCATTGGTGTCACGCCACATGGCACGTACATACATGCAGCACATGCTGCTGTACGGACTTTTATCGCCCGACGCACCGGTGTTGCCGGCCCGACTGTTACACACGATGAACTCTCTCCTCCCTCTCGGGCGCCAAAAGCGGCCGCCGCACAAATTGTTTACAGAATGTACGGCGAGTAATCCGTTATTGGCGTCGCAGAAGGAGGAGAGACGGTTTTATGCACACAAGTAAGTTGGCAGTAAAATACGGAATGCGTTCGAGAGAGAGAGAGAGAGAGAGAGAGAAAGAAGTCTCAATAATGCAAAATGTTCTTTTTACAGGCACTGACGAAAAAGGATCTGGATAATCAACGAGAGTTGCAGAGGCTCGCGGAAGAGAAAATCGCTCTGGAGCAAAGATTAGAGATGCTGAAACAGGAGGCTATGTCGATCTGGGAACACCTTGATTTCTCTCACATCGACGCTCTTCTGTCGAGAACCGGAGCGGGTGACATCATGGTCATTAGAAATGGTGAGACATCCCTAATATACGCGTAGGCGATTAAACTGTGGAGGAATTACCGTCTTGATAATGTAGGCCATTGTTAAGAGGGAGAGACAGAGAGAGGTGTATTGGAGTGTGGAGTCTGGGTAACTTGGTAGAGCGATCGACCAGGAAGCAAAAATCTCGGGTTTAATTCCCGGCCTAGCGACCTTGCACTCCCGGTTATATTTTCCCTCTGGCTCTCTCTCACATGTATGGAACAAAAAATAAATTTACCACAGTATCTCAAAGTATTTGAAGAAATATGCATGATTTTATCTACAGCTTTTTAATCTAATTATGTAAAAAAAGAGAAAAATATATATATATAATAAGTGTATAACAGCTGTTGTAACTAGTGACAAATCAATATCGAATCTTGAACCTGTCGCTAAGTACAATAGCCGTCACATACTGATACATGTAGGTTTCTCTGAACAAAAAAGTCCTGTATCATTTTGCAAATAACACGCACATTTTTGAGTTATTAATTAATACGTTGACTGCCATGGAACTTTTCACGATTCTGGTCTAAGAAGCCAATTTGATTTAATCAAATAATGAAGCGACGAGATAACTCGTAATTGGCGTCCTGGGCAAGTAAACAACCTACGAGATATCTCATAGTTGGCAGTCAACGTGTTAAAGAAGCTTCTATGATCATTTTCAATAATTAATAACTCGAAATTTTGCGTGTTATTTGCAAAATGGTAAAGGACTTTCACATTGATCTAAACTACAAGTATGTAACCGGATGTCACGTGCGTCAGACACCCTGTATATAGCTTTCTTATTAGCTAATTTATTTATCAAGTTTCAGAAAATCCGGACGTCGAAATTACTGGGCTCCCTCAGGGTGGCACGAGGTATAGCAGCACGAGCAGCCTGAACAGCGTTACTGCTAGTTCCCCGCAAGCGCTGCAGTCCCCTAACGCGACTTCCAACATCCACAATCAAGCCGCTACCGCGAGCATCGTTTGTCAAACGCAAGATCTGAATCTTGCGCGAGGTTCCAGGGAGAGTCCACCAGCCAGTTCAACTCCCGCATCATCCACACCCAGTATTCCCACACCGACGCAGGTATGCATTCTCTCTCTCTCTCTCTCTCTCTCTCTCTCTCTATTCTTGTCCGCCTCGTGGACGAACGATGAGCAGATAATATCAGCACCGTATCCAAGGTCGGAATCGTGCAAATATCGCGATTTTGCAATGTACTGGTGCCAGAATAACACAGCGCGCATTTGCAGAGCCGGTTACAGAGACTGTACTGGAAGCGGCTTTGAAAATGCGCCACACACTTTTAAGATCTCAGCCTCGCGCGATTTCTTTCCCGCGCATATAGAGCTTATGAATCAGCGTTGGCATGCATGACCACGCGGTCGGCCCGCATCTTCCATTATCCTTTCTGTGTCTCTCTCTTTCTCCCTTTCTCCTTTCTACTTTTATTAGAACTATAAGCGCATATCATTTACCATATATCATATTATGCATATAATGCGTCCAGGATTGGATAATAATTAGTTAATCAGTCACAAGTTAGGTTAAAAAGTTAATCACTTTTGACTTAATTAATTTTAAATTGAGTTAAAATTTGTAACTCAAGTTAGTTATTTAAAATGCAGTAGTTCTAATTCATTAACAGTTTTTTTATTTATATAAGTTGAAATAATTCATCAATATTATGTACAAAATCATTGCGAACAGCCTACAGTAGGGAATAAAAAAATAAAAAATAATGTCAGTAGAATTTATTTTTTGTGTTTCTCTGAGCGCTAGTTCTCTGAGCACTAGTTCTCTGAGCGCTAGTTCTCTTTTTTGTGTGGAATTCTGAGCATAAAACAGTCGATATTTTCTTATAACAGACTACTCTTTCATTATTTCACATAAATTTAAACTACGATAAAAAAGTTATTCATACAAGAAAACACATGGTTTTACATAATTAACTTTTAATTAAATTAATATTTGTTTAGGTAACCTTTTCAACTCAACCAAGTTAATTTTATATGTCATTAGCTTTTAGTTTAAACAAATTTTTTGAAATTAATTAAAAATAAAAATTAACTTACCCATAATTATCTTAATTATATCCGTATCATAGATATTTGAGATATGCTGTAACATCCTTTATTTCGCGGAGGCAAATTATCAAACATCGAACGAGCAAAATTAATCTTACAAATATTCACCCACTTCTCGTTCAAATTCGGCAAGAAGAAAAATAAGAAGGTCAAGTCTCCGCTCAATGGCAATCGGTAAAGGAACGGTAAGCTTTCGCGACGACTTCGAAACTTATGAATTCCCACTTAGCTCGCCTGTTTTTATAAACTGATCTGAAACGGCAGCATTTGAAATTCGCGAATGCAAGCGTGTGAGTACGTGCGTGTATTTTTATATATGCGGGTGTGCACAGCGATCACGGACGGTGGCGTTTTTGTTTCAGGAGAAAATCACGACGTCACCAACCGCTAGTATAGTACAACAACCACATCAGCTCCATCTGCCAATCAGCGCACAGATGTTAAATACGAGCCAAGGTCTCGCAACGATCGTGCCGACACTGCAACACATCGGGCCGGGTCTTCGAGTGATACCAGGTGATACGAGGCAGCTTCTTGTCACTCACACCGCCGGTAACAACGAATCCAGGCCGTTGACGTTAGCAGTGCAGAACTCTTCGGATCAGTCCAGGCCGCTGATTGCTGTGCAATCCAACACTGGGAATGAACCGAGGCCCGTGGCGTTAGTCGTTCATTCGTCCACCGCCAGCGACAATCGGGTGACGTTCGTACACTCGAATCTGTCCAACAACGACCGGCCGTTGGCCTTGGCTGTGCAGTCGTCTGCCAGTGATGTTCGGCCTGTCACATTCGTGCACTCAGGGAACGAAGCGCGACCGCTGGTTCTCGCCACCCATTCCCCCGCGCTAAACGTGTCGAGTGAGTGCAAAGTTTTTGTTGCATAGTGAGTCGAATTCGGACGAATGGATTTTTTAAGAGCCTAACACATCGCCCAACCGCGCGAGTTGCGCCTCGCTAAGCTTTGAAAACCATGCGTTTCGTTAGCTGTAACACATATCTTGACCCGAGTTTCTACAGTTGTGACTTTCCAACAAAAGAGAGTCAATATAATGAAATCTGAAGATAAACGTTTTTCTCCAGAATTACCAAAAGTTTAAGTTGATCGGTCGAGAAAAGGATACATTTATCCAATCGGTTGGCCAATGTGTTAAATATGTGTGTACATTATATGTTAAATTATGTTAAATATGTTATGTTATGTTAAATATGTATGTACATTATAGTCCTTCCAGCTTGTCGTTCATTAAGATTTCCCGCGAAGTTCTTAGAGCGGGAAGAGCTGTCAGATCTGCAAAATGAAAATCTCTCGTCGTTGCAGATGCCCAGACGAGAATCAGGGCCGGTGACGCACAGACCACGCATAAGATGGTCGGCGGCGTGACGTTGGTCGGCGGTAACGGTTCTGAACTGGCAAGACTCCCCGGTGGCGCGGAGCTGAACATACTCCCGGCGAACGGTAAGTAACATCTTCGTCGGGGAATGCTTGTTTCATTGCTAGTCAGTGAATATCGAAGCGCACACTTTTTAAACTAATGCAAGAAGAAACGCCTTTTATAACATGTGTGCTTATTGAGCATAGCGGATGCTTTTCAATATTGACACAGGCATTATTTTGTTTTTGTTCCATAATCAATAAGTAACAAAAATAGGTGATGCTTGTGTCGATTTATATTGTTAAATGGAAATGATCCATTAATTGATAGTTAACCTTCAAAACGTCTGGCAATCGTCGATATACTCTGACCATGTTATTAGATGCGCTTTGATTTTTTAATAGGATACAGATTGGGAAGGAAAGAGAAGCTACTAATTTTATGTTTGCTTGATTAGAATAATTTTCGGTGTCAAACAGCGCTTTCACCTTTGCAACCTTCCGGGGTGTCAAATCACTTGTTTTACCCATAATTTTTGCAAACAATATTAATATTTTTCACGCAAGAATTTATTTTTCTGTTAGTAAGCGAGGAATTTGAAGTTTCAAGTCACAAATAAACGAAAATAAAACCAGATTTCAATTCGACGCGCAGTCAAAACTCACGTCTGTTGTCGTTATTATCAACAATGCAACTAGCGTGAGTTCAAGATCGTTGCAACAGCCAAGTGAAATGGCGTCATAAGAAATACCTTTTATAGAATAATGGTTCCTTAAATATAATTCGATCGATAGATGAGCCGTATCGTAAAGCTGGTCTTCAATGAAATGTAAAAAAAATTAAGATGCATCTAATAACATGGTCGGGGACTGTGTAAATGAAGGTCAGTTTAAATCAATCGATGATTATCAAGAAAATGATAAAAATGATGACAGTAGACAATCACTGGAGAAAAAAAAAACTAGTAAGAGTGGTGATTTCGTTTTAAGACGTTTTTACATCTCGTATTCTCTATTCCCTTCATTTGAGCCACAGTTTATTTCTTTCGTTGTTTCTGAGCCGTTGCACGGACAAAATTAACCGACTCGTTAATCTTGTGGTCGCAGGACTGACGTTGAGCCACGCGGGCGTGTCGCTGCAAACCGCAGCGGCGAAACCAGGCTCGACGACGGTGATGCAGAACGTACCGTCGACCGAGAGTATAGCGCACATCGTCGGCCAGCACACGCCGCTGTCCGGCCTGACGCCGATCGTCACGCCGATGACGGTCGTCTCCCAGGGTAACCAAGTGACTGCTCACATCCTGGCGCCATCCAGCCTCGCGGGAAAAATGATCACCACCCCGATTCTCAAGACCGTGGGTCAGATGCCGCTGGTGAATGCTCAGTACCTTAACACCACCACGTTAGTCAAACCGGTTGTTGTGGTGAGCTCGCCTTCAACGTCGACGCCGCCGGTCTCGACGACCGCTTCCTCCAATACGCAACCTCCCTCGACCTCGCACTCGACCGTCTGACAGAATCACGGGAAGGCGAAATTGACCTGATCATCGCGCTGGAATATCAAAATGGTGGTGGTGGTCCGCCGCGACATTGCTGCGCCGTGCACCGTCTCCACGTTCAACCGAAGTAAAACCACGTTCTGTTGTGTCTTTTCATTGGTTAGACGAGTTGCTTAGTGGGGTGGATTAGCGACGAATTAGCGATGCGAAGAATTAAACGATTAGCTAATCAAAATTGCGCGCCTTACACGCAACAAAGAATCTTACGCGATGATGGTGAATATAATACCTTTGTCCATCGTGCTATTTCTAACATTTGTTGGAATTTTACAATTTTGAAGCTTCATCGGTCATCGAGTCCCCGAATCATCGGGGACCGATCGAATTCGAAGTTCGAGTTCTCTTTTCGAAGAGAGTGAATCTGACTGAAAAGATACGTGACCTTGCTCAACTCGTGTACGACTATACGTCGGTATGATTTTATCGAAGGAAAGGACGTTCATCGCGGAAATTCAATGTAAACAAAAAAAGTTGAACGGCTCATTTTTATCAAGGCAGCCTGCAAGCGTCGAAAGCGAGAGAGGAAGCTTTCGCGTGTCGCACTCAGGCGTCATGGAAAAACCTGATGCTTTTAAAACACACGTTACAATAGCACGTTTGACGAAGCCCAAAGCTTTAACTCGTTAAGCTTGTCCGGTGATTATGGAAATTTAAGCGTGTCGCAGCTATAAGCAATAATGATTGTGCTTGGCATATCATCATTCTTCTGGTAAATGTACATTGTGTTATCATTTTGTCATATGTCACGATCGCGCGAGCTTCTTTTCCGTACACCTTGACAAACATCTTTTGGCGAGTATTTTACGTTCTCCCGTATATGCTTTCCCTTACAGACGAAGAGAAAGGAAACTTTGGCTAAATAATTCAGACGGACGTCCCCTTTCGCATAACTTTTAAATTTCTTGACTGTTGCACGAGATTGACGTATCGACCGATTGACGATCGCGACCTTCGTCGCGATCGAACAAATATCGCAAAGAACGGCATAGCCTGCTACGTTTAGACTGAAATTGAAAGACGAAAGACGGAACCTGAGTAGTTTATACACACAGTGGCTGTGGAGAAAATGGATATTGAATTCTATATTTAGGGGTCTATATTTACTTTTGACATTTCGATGGCAAAAACGAAGAATTCTGGATATATTAGCGTGGATATTGGAAACTATATTGAATGATAAAGAGAGTCCAGGAGACAGTATATAGGTTACGTTTGTAATAATACTTTTAAGTATTTATTCGTCTGTGTATTTATTATGTTACGTATATATATATGTATATATATATATATATATATATACATATATATATATATATATATCGCTATTTCATCCTCGGTTTCTGCACTATATGAGTCTGTAATTTGTAGTATCGCGCGTTAATTTCATCATGCTGATTTTGTCATGTCGAAAGTGATTTTTGAGCGCGCGTATTTTAAATCGCTGATCTGCAATCGTAAAAAAAGAAAAGGTGCACGTTGTGACGTTTCATTTCCTTTTTCTCGCATAATGGCCACATCAAGGCTAGAGTACAGAAGAAGAAAACGAAAATGCTTACGCAGCTGTCTCTGAAGAAAGAAAGAGAGACAGAGAGAGAGAGAGAGAGACAGAGAGAGAGAGAGAAAGAGAGAGAGAGAGAGAGAGAGAGCTGGAGAACGACTGCACGCACGTAACGCACTCTTGTATTATTTCTCATTGTTTTTCTGTATGTACGTAAAAAATCTTCGTTCGCTTTTGTAAGATCTTATCCTACGTTTCCGTTTGATATTCTCGATGTGGGATCGTCAATGGAATAATCGGTGGAATAATCAAGCATTAATTATGGCAGAACTGCCGCTCAACAAGCGATGTTCGGAAAAAAAAAATACGCGTTATTTTGTATCGATAAAGTATACGTGACATCGTGTGGCGTATACGATTATTGACCATAATCTATTGACGATCCGATTCTCCTGGATATCGGCTCTCATTTGTACATTAGTGTTATTATTTCTTATACCTGCGTGCGAATGTATATCTTGTTTTATATTCTTTAAATTATTTAATCGAGTAGTATATATGGTGGTCAATCGATCGACACACACATTCAGGCGTAAGTGCGTGCTTTAGCGGGGTAAAGAAGCGCAAGTGTCTGTAATAAATGCATTCTGGCAACTTAGCACGTCACTAACGAGATAGCTTCGCTGGGAAGGAAATGCTGCAATAACGAAAGTACTTGACTCGCTGTAAATTAGTTGATAACTTGCACTTGTACAAATTACTTTCGAATTTCTCGACCTACGCTTATCACACACGTTGGTTTTGTTCGAATCGATGTTTTCACAGTCTAGCTGGAAAGGGAAATGCATAAAAACAAAAAAAAGATTAATGCGAATATACAATGTACACACAATTCGTCACCATTTCTCACATCGCTGCAATTCACGCTTTTCTTAGCAGAGGCCAAAAACGGACACGGGGGAAAATTCGATTTGACGAAAAAAAAAGAATGAAAAGAAAGGCAACCAGTCGGCACAAATCCAATTCGAAGTACTAGTCAATGAATTTTTTACGCAATTGTTTTCGGAGCGAACGTTCTCATTTCAATGAAACAATTCACTCAAGTCGTGCAATGGATGTAATANAAAAAAAAAAAAAGGGGGGGGGGGGAGGGCACATAGCTGTGAGCGATGCTGGAATGCAAAAGTGAATGGAAGAAGCGATCGAACGAGAATTGTCACGGAAGAAAAACGATCGCGTCTGCTATCCTATGGACTAACGAAGCGTCGTTAATAGCCTCATGTAAATAATAATTCGTTAGACGCGGTAGGGAGCATCGTGCGAGAGGGGGCCGAAACGGTTTCGCCGTGTTGGACGGGGACTAAAAGTAGTACAGCATTAAACATTAAGCGGGATGAATAATGTGTACATGAACAATGTGATATAAGTAATAAATAAAAGATTAATTATAGCACCGTAGGAGAGAGCGCTTAAGGAAATGAAAGAAATCAACTGTTAAACCGTTTACGGCGTAGATAGAAGCTGGTAATTATCATTTACTAATATCCTAAAGGACATCAAGAAATTTAATTGTACATAGAGAATATGAGAGAGAGGGAGAGAGAGAGAGAGAGAGAGAGAGAGAGTGAGAGAGAGAGAAAGAGAGAGAGAGGGCAAGGAGAGAAAGAGAAAACGATAGATGGCGAGAAAGAGAGAGAGAATGAGTGAGTGAGTGAGTGAATGAGAGGGAGAGAGATTATGAGATATATAAATATATTGAATACGAAAGGAGAAAAAAAAGTGTATGCAGTGTGAATGAGTGAGGAAACGAATGAATGGGAGAGTGAGAGATAGAAAGAGAAGAGATATGCGAAAGACAACAAATTTGCCACGACGGCGGCATTGTACATGTCCCCCAGATGTATGATAGAACCTACAGACTGTACGCGAATGAATGATGACGGATGGAATGGGAGAGCGTGTGTAAGAGCGTGTTGTTGTTGTTGTAGTCTATGTCAAATTTTGTTATACGCCTTGGTATGCGAGACGGTAATGTCCTACGGCACANGGATGGAACAGGATTTTGGGGATGACGAGAGTGGGCAGAAGAATGGTGGGGATGTGTTGAGAGCGCCGTTGAAGAAGTCCGATCTCTTCGTGTGCGCGAAACTTGTTAAGAAACAAAAGAAGAAAAAAAAGTGCGATGAAACTCAATACAATCTATTACAATAAAGATTGAAATATGTGAGTGTGACGGTTGCCCAAATCCTTCTTGTGATTGTCCAGCGTCTACGCCGGCTCTGGACTCTCTCGGCTCGACGTCCGTGTCAAACGGGAACGCACGACCGTGTCCGCGTCCGCTGAATTCCACGACTCTCTCTCTGAGCAAACGTTGGCGAGATGCCAGTCCTATGATTTGTCTAACCTGACGTGATTTTTAATCCGTGATGCTCGAACCTCCATCGCGCAACGGTTAAGGTCGAAGTACAGAAACCTGAGCGGTAAGACTTGAGAAGTAAAGAAATTGACTAATCACGGTCGATTATTCTTGAAGCCCTCCTGGTCCCTCGCTGCAACTGTCTTTGTTCGATGACATCAGAAGCGAGAAAATGCATACCAAGAATTCTTGCGTTGTACATTCAAATAAAAAATCTATCTACAAAGTGACACTTGTGTGATCGATTCAACACAGTTGTAAAATTGTCTGAACGCTTCTCTTACCTGAACAATAAACAGTCGCAAAATTAACTTGACACGGAATCTTTTTTTTAAATCTCTGTTCTCATAATTTTTTCAATGTTAATTTTACGACTATTTATGGATTCTTAGAGCACAAGGAATGTTTCCGGAGGATTTTACAAATTCGCTGAATCGTTCACCGATGTCATTTTGTGAGTGTATCTTTTCTTTGAACGTATAACGCAAGAACTTATACGGTATGGATTTTCTTGTTTTTCATCAAATAAGAACAGTTGCAGCGAGGGACCAGGAACTTGAAACCATAAGGAGAATGGTCGATTGTGATGGTCAACTTGTTGTTTTATTATATTACGTTTTTCTATGCGCTCCAGGCCTAAAACCCCGCGACAGCGCGTTTCTTATCATACACGGGCAATTGGAATATAACTTGGTGGCGCAATAATTGATACATATATAGACAAATAGAATCCGGATAGCCAAATCTGCAGTAGATTTTGCGCAGTATCGTAAATTTTGTCGGCAGCTTGCTAACAGGAATATAGCGGGATCTACTAACAGAATACGGTGACAGATTGACAGCAGAAACCGAGCAGGATCTGTTCCCGGGAAAAAATGATTATATGTGATTATATATATAATTATATAAAATCATATATGAATTTTGCCCATACATGTGGTTACATATATGATGATCATATATGTCTATACGAAAAAAATGATGTAATGTCATTTATTTAAATGTCGATATCATGCTGCTGTCAGAAGCATTTACTTCGATTGTATTTGCATTTAATTTGTAAACAACAGTATTTTTTCGTTGTGGATACATGATTATATATAATCATATTTGGACAAATTTCATTTATGATCTTTTTTCCCGGGTCGTTTCCTCATCACTGAAATGTATTTAAATGTAACGTACTGTGAGCCCTGCTCGGTTTCTGTCGCCAGTCTGCTGTTATGTCAGTAGCCTCTATCTTCGACAGAACACGAACTTAATGCGGATACGGATTCCGTTATGTTAATATCTATCACGATATTCTGATCAATTCTGCTGCCAATCTACCGGCATACTGCTAACATTTTGCTTATACGAAACTCTTATCTCTCCGAGGCGTCTTAATGTCCATATTCTTAACACATTGAATATTACGTCACTCGCATCTGAGTGACGCGTGAGTTTACGCAGGGACACCCTCATTTGTGTGAGCGATGATTCCTACTTACCTAACTAGGAGTGATTTCGCTAAATATTCAATCCGATCGAGTGTAACCCGTGCGATTAGCGATGTGTCAGGGCTACAGCACACAAAGAAAAAACGCAGTAAGCAACGAACGAATCGGCTGATTATATTCGAAAGTTATCGAGAACATAAGACTATCATGTTAACGTTCTCAGCTGTGATTGTAATCGATTCATTTACTGCTCACGTTTTTCTCCATATGTCACGAGCCTTGCGCAGTTCAACTTCGCATACGATCGCACGTTGCAATTATACACAGAAGGAAAGTGCCAGATTCGAGTGAATAATTACTCCGGTACTCGTTAGCAAATTTTTACTTGGATTAAGTAAATTTTACTTGGACCAACCTTTATAGAAAAGTGTGCTGACTGCCTATGATATTATTCGCGTGAATAATAAAATTATTGAGCAACAGTAATTTATTACTGGCCAGTTTATCATAGGCAGTAATATTTTTCTGTAAGGGAAGTAAATATATTTTACTTGGATAATTTACTTGGGAAATAATTAAATCTAGCACTTTTCTTCTATATAGAATAGATAAAGCTTATATGCGAGTCTCCCCAACGTGATGGTCAGAGGTCCATATTCTGAACTAACTTTTATCGGAAAAAGAGAGTTCAGAATATGAACTAAAATGTGGGACACGGGAAGCACGCAGTTACGAAGCTGCCAAAAATCGCGTAACGCATAACTTAGGAATACACTTAAGAATATGGATTTAAGGCACGTACGGAAGAATGGATGATACGTTCTTCGGTTTTTACGACACTCGGCATAAAACATCGATGATGAGCAGTGACGTCGGGCAAAGAGTAAAGAGCTCGGCGGGGCCACTGTGCGTTTATATCATACATATGAGGTAAATAGCAATCAAAAACGGATTTCGAAAGAGAGAGAGAAAGAGAGAGATTTGTAATCATAGCAATCTGTACCTTCTCGAGTCATGCGAAAAAGAGAGAGAGAGGGGAAGAGGAAGAGCAGTCGCGTAAAAACTTGATACGGAGAGCAGATCTTCCAGAACGACTGCGAACGACTGTGTTGTCCGCATCCGAGCTGTCCGCTCGCCAGTCGAGCAAGCGAATCGTCCTCGAAGGCAGACCGGGCCGAGTGCGAAAAATCAAAATCGGATCTGCCTTTTTTTCTAGCGGCTAGTGTTTAGAGATTTAAGCGTGTTCTCAGGTGCGAGGCCGGTGCGAACGCGATCACGGCGGCTCCGTCGATTCTCCGCGAAACTCGCCGAGATCCGCGACGAGGAGGAAGTCGCTCCGGTGAACTGCGGACCGCACGGAAACTCCAAAGGACGATCTTAAAATTGAAACTGAAAAGAAAATTAGTAATTCGTTTTGCTGTAAAAAGAAAAAAAAGACGTGAAATTGAGTTCAAACGACATCGCGTCCGCGGGTTTCTTACCTTCGTCGTTCCGTTTTGTGATCCAATCTTGCTCGATGGAACATTTCGGGAAAACCCGCGTTTCTTGAGACACTCGACCGTTTAATTTGCAGAAATTACGGTGAACGAACGCTCCAATCCGGAAATATCACTGCGAATCGGACGGCGTGGTGTCACGTGGTTCGCGCGCATTGCAGCTGGAACTGCGAATTTCTAGAACTAAATCTATCGTTTAGCTCTTATCGAATTCGTATGTAAGGTCAACACACTTAAGATCTGTCTCGTCGTTGAGTTCGTGAAGATCGATCGGCGCGTTTTTCTCTTGTGGCTGACTTGCACACAAATAAACTGATGAATAGTTTGATCGTTGCTTTCTTCAACCTCGCGAACATTCCATGGATCACGTTACGCCGTATTTCTCGTCAGAACTTGCTTGATCGCGCGATAATCACACGAATTACAGCCGCGACGTTCGACGCCCGAACACCGGGGGATCCTGTCTTTGGGGAAGTCGCTGGAGAATATTCTTGGCGAAGTGAAACGGTAAAGATATAAGAACGTCTCATAGGGTCTGGGAAAAAATTTGGAATTCTCAGAGAATTTGTTTATGTTTGGGAAAATCTGAGAATTTTCAGTGAATTTTATTGGAAATCAGGGAATTTTAAACAGTC